AAATGAAAATTAAAAAAGAATTATTTGGTAAAAGCTAAAATCTATTTTTGGTGTCAAAGCTGAAAAGGCATTTTAAAAAAAGAAGAAAAGAGGGAAAATATGACTGGTCTTAACTACTACGGGAAATGTCAATCAATCCAGGGGTCATTGCAATATTTTTTTTTTTTCTCTTTCAATTCTCACATTTTTATTGAAACATTCAAAAGAAGCTTCTCAGCGATATTGTCATTTATTCTAGAAACTAAATAAGCAAGAAATAAATTGTAACACAATATATGAACAGGAGAAGCGCAAAGCAGACATGAGAGTAGCAAGAACTAAAACAATAAAATCAAGAAGAATGAGGTGCATTGACAGCATAAGAGCCACTGTAATGGACAAATGGAAAAGGCAGAGCCCCCCACTTTTCACTTTTGTTTTTTATTATTATTATTAATAATAATAATAAAATCTTTAGAAAAAACCCAAAAAAACTAAGGTTTGGATGAAAATGAGATTTTCATTGGTGTTAATAAAAAAATAAATTCAAGACATAAAATGTAGTTTGAAGAGGATAGAAAAGAGGGGAGCAAGAGACATTTCAGAAAAACATAATATTAAAAGGCACGAGGAATACAAATATTATTCCAGTTTGTAAATGATTAATTGTATATAAATGTTGATGATTTTGATCTATATATGTCTCGTTTTTTTCCTTGTTTGAAATATCAGGATTGTTTGTATATTTGTTTGGGAAAGAAGATGAAGATTGGTAAAAGCAACCATTAATAAAAAATCCTTCATTAAAAATTAAATGACCCTAAAGTCCCAAATGTTCATTAATTTGAAAGGATAGGGGATATCTTAAAACAAGCTGATTAAAGAAGATTAAGATTTGATGAACAATTGTTTGTTCCAACTAGATAAAATATAGAACATTAAAATTAAGAACTGGAGAGAAAACAACACCAAAATCCATTAGGTCCCTATCCATCTGGTGTATTTTAGGGGAAAGAAGATGAAGATTAGTAAAAAAGATGAAATGAACCAAATCTCCATTAAAATTGGAGGGGAGAAAAAATAATAATGTGATCTCAGGATAATTGACAAACAAAGAAACTAAAGAATATGATATTTGGTAAAAGGAGGAGGAGAGAAAAATGTGAACATTAACAAAATCCATTTAGAAAAATAGAAGAAATGACAAATTGATCCAGATCAACAAAAGAATGACAAGAAGATTTAGATCATAAACATATCTCTATAAAAAAATGAACATTAAAATAGTAGGGGAGAAACCAATAATAATTCAAGGAGGAGGATAATGCAACAAGACCCATGAAAAAGATAAGAATGGTAAAATTTTTCTGATAAGGAGGATCTAAAAAATTTTCAAATAAAAAATAAGGATGAGTAAAAAGAATAATAATGAAAGGAATTATTTTTTTGTTATCTTCAGCCCATAAGAAGATGAAGATTGTCAAAAAGAGGAGGAGGAGGAAAAAATTAAATTTAAAAAAGGGGTTTTGAAACAATAATAATGAAAGGAGGAGGAGAGAGAACAAGTGAGGGGGAAAGAAGATGAAGATTGAAAGATATCAGGAGGAAAAAAAATGAACATTAAAAAAGTTTCAAAAAGAATTTAATGAAAGATGAGGAGATTTGAACAAAATTAGGGAAAGAAGATGAAGATTGGTAAAGGAGGAGGAGGAGATAAAACATGAACATTAAAACTCAGGAATAAGAAAAGCAATTTTGTGGCTAGGAGGAAGTCTGTTGATATTCTTCTTGATAACGATTGGTAAAAACGGAAGAGGAAAGATTAAAACATGAATCATTAAAAGAGTCTGGAGGAGATAAAACATTGAACATTAAAAGAGGAACTAGAAAAAACATGAACATTAAAATGGAGGAGGATATTTATAAGTCTAATATTCATCCAGGAGGAATACTGAATAGGTGATTTGATGGGACATTTGAGATGTAGGCACAGATTCTTGATAAAATACAAATATTGAAGAATCTGAAAATGTTATTGGTCTTGACCTGGCATCTTGGATAAAGAGGAGGAGAGAAACTCATAAATGTCAAAAAGGCAGATCCTATAAATATTTTCATGGTAATTGTTCTAATGATGTATCAAGAATGGAGAATTTAATAAACAAATTTAAATGTTAAGAGATTAGAAGCAAAAATTGAGCTGGTTAGATAAAATTTTGGAAAAAAAGCTAACAGTTTCTTTTCTCACAGATGTTGCTTGGTGGTTTAATGGATAATGGCTCAGAATGAGAAATCTGATGATCAAAAATTCAAATTCAATGTCAGGTTATCTTCTGTCTTATTAATTCCTATTCTTTTATTGATCTCCCATCTTTACTCCCCCTCCTTGTGCTAATGTCACTTTTATATAATGTACTGATGAACACAATGAGTGGTCCCCAACTCAGGCTAAATAAATTGCACACTATTATAAGAAAATATTCTGCCTAGTCAGTCATGAATCAAAACAGACATGAATTACCACTGCTGCTGAGTCAACTAGAGAAAGATTTTAAACTATAAGAAAGAAAATTTATAGAAACCTCTATTTTGAGAAGATTCCTCAAACGGAAGAATGGAAGGCAAAGAAGAAAAAAATTAGTTACTGAAAAATGGAGAAGAAAAATGCAAAAACTAAAAATGGGAGAAGGTGTTGCTTTTTAGTCTTATATTTTCATCAATTGATTTGTTTTTTATAGACTATCAACCCTGAGAAAGTTATTTAAAACTGAAAGTTTAGATATTTCTAAATCACTTTGGTATCCAATGTTCCACAAAAAGTCTTGATCCTTACAAACATGATTTGAGCTTTTTAAATTCATTGATCAAATAATGAGAATTTGAAGGTGAAAATACATTTAAATAACATGCAGAAAAAAGTAAAGAATTTGTCAATGAATGAAATGCAGGCAAATAAAAATGGATGAAATAAAGATTGATAAGGAGAAGAAAAAATATGAAAGGACTAGCTTAAGATTACCCTATTTTTTTTTATTTAAGCTAACTTTGACAAAGATGCATCAACTTAAATGTGTTTTCATCTTGTCCATAAAACCCCATAAAGTGTCCCTAACCATTGATATTTTCATATTGGAAACAGCAGGAGTTTGATATTTAATTTACTTCTCATTTGTATATTCCAAAATTTTTTCTGAATTGCAGTCTTGACTTTCTTGATTGCAACCTGGTCCTCTGTTTTGATGTCTTTTTTCTGCATTCTGCCATAAGAATGATAGGCATTTTAATAAACTAATAAGAACTCAAAATTGATCAAATTTCATTTAAGCATTTTGCATTAATATTTTATTTTATTTTTTTTGTTTGTTTGTTGGGGATTTCACAATTATTTCAACAATGTTAAAAATGTAGCATGCAATTTTTTCATATATATCTATATATATTTTTTGAGATTTCAATACCTTTGGGGGATGCCACTAACCCATCTTTATTTAAAGAAGATAGTGAGAGAAAAATGATAGGAGGAAAGGATGAAGAGAAAGGATAGGGATAAATTAAGGCATCTGGAGACATCGATTGACATTATATTTGAATAGGTGGAGATTTTTAGCTATCAGGAAACAAGAAAAGAAAGGGAATTCCACAGGTGAGAAGTGCGAGACATGAAGCTATTGGAGTAGAAGAGACGGCTACATTTAACAGTTTTTGACAGTGAAAAAGGTGAGAGCAAGATGACAGCCTAGTAGAACACTTAAATTCATGAAGTCTGGGAACCAGTGAAAACAGCTCATCAGAGCAGTTACCATGAAAGTATTTGTGGAAAAAGACAGAGGGAGGTGACGGCACATCTGTGAGAGAGCTACTGCAGATGAGATGCAAGATCAGGGCCAATTACATTGCATATCCGTCTCTGGTTAAGCTTACCTTTTAAAAGTTCAATGATAATTCTTCTACCACCACTTTATTTAAACAATTTCATGTACGTAGGTCCTTACTTTCCGTACAAACAATTATTTTTATTTCATGAATGATTTTTGTTGGATTTCGCGATTAATTTTGATTATTCTCAACTGTATTTATAAGTTATAAATTTATAAAAATTGTACAAAAGATTTGTCAAAAAAGATCATATTAAAAAAAAAATTGCTGAAAACAAACGCAGTAATGAAAACTTGGGAATCCCAAATTTCAGGATTGTGGGTCTGGATCTGGCCTGAAATGTTTTTAATTTGGTCATGGAGTTGACCTGACTCCAAAAACTTAGGAATCCAAAATTTCAGGATTGTGGGTCTGGATCTGGCCTGGAATGTTTTTAATTTGCTCATAGAGTCCGCCTGATTATAAAATGAGATGATATACTGGGCTATGGCCTCTCGGAGTAAAGTTGAAAAAATGTGACACACTGACATTCACATTTATTATATAGAAGAAGAAGAAAAATGAAAAGAAGAAGAAAAAGATCAAAAAAGAACAGATGGAAAAAAAGTAAGAAAAAGATCATGTGGTGGGATTGAAGAAAACGGAAATTAAAAGAGGAAGGAGGAGGAAAAGATCCCTTTTAGAAATAAAAGAAAAAATAGCAGAAAAAAATCAAAGATGAAGGAGAAGGAAGAGAAGAAAAACAGAAAAAGCCAAATATCAAGATCAGGAATAAAATGCAAATGAAATACAGACATGTAGAAATGAATGAAATAAAAGACATGAAAAACAAACAGAGATTTGAAAGAATGAAAAATGAACAAAATACAGACATGAAGAAATAAAGAGAAGGAGGAGAAGAAAAAAAAGAGGAAGAAGAAAAAAGATCAGATTTAAAAAACAAGAAAAACAAAAACGTCAAACAAGAGTTCAAAGTGAAAGGAGAAGAAAAACAGGAAAAAAAAAAAATGAATGTTACAAAGAGAAATGAAAGAAAATAAAGTCAGCATGGTAGAAAGAAAGCAATGAAGCACAGACATGGAAGAATGAAAAAATGAATGAAGATATGGAAAGTGAATGAAATGCAGATATCAAAGAACAAAAAATTAAAGAGATACAAATATTAAAAATGAAGATATAAAAGAATAAAAAATGAATGAAATATAGATATGAAAAGCAAATGAAAAACAGATATGAAAAATGAAAGAACTACAAGTGTGAAAGATTGAAAAATGAAAGAAAAATGTGTAAGAATGAAAAAATGGATGAAATAAAGACATGGGAAGTGAATGAAATGCAAATATCAAAGAACAAAAAATTAAAGAGATACAAATGTGAAAGAATGAAAAATGAATGAAATAGAGACATGAAAAACAAATGAAAAACAGATATGAAAAATGAAAGAAATACAAGTGTGAAACATTGAAAAATGAAAGAAAAATGTGTAAGAATGAAAAAATGAATGAAATAAAGACATGGGAAGTGAATGAAATGCAAATATCAAAGAACAAAAAAATAAAGAGATACAAATGTGAAAGAATGAAAAATGAATGAAATATAGACATGAAAAACAAATGAAAAACAGATATGAAAAATGAAAGAAATACAAGTGTGAAAGATTGAAGATTGAAAAAAATGGATGAAATACAGACATAGATGAAATGTGAATGAAGTATTGAAATGAGAGTCAAATGAAGTGGAGACATGATTGAATGAAAAGCGAATGAAATGGAAGCATGAAATTCAAAGAAAATAATGATATGAAAGAAAAAAAATGATTGAAATAGAGATGGGAGAAGCAAATGAAATGCAGATATGAATGAATGATAAATGACTGAAATATAAACTTGGAAAAGCAAGTGACAGACAAACACAAGTGAATGAAAGACTTGAAATATGAACAAAATATTGATATGAAGCAATAAATCAAACAGAAATGTGAAAAGTGAATAAAATACAAACATGAATGAATGAAAAAGTAAATCTATAAGTAAGGAATGAAAGAAAGTCATGACAAAGTTAATGAAATAGAAATATGCTTTTTTTTCAAAAATGGAGAAAAGAACAAGACATTTGTGAAAAAAAAAATATTAACACAATAAAAAATAAATAATAGCAAATATTGTACAGGAAATGATTTACTCACTGACAGATCAGAAATGGCTCTGCCCAAAAGAAACAGTGAAAATTGCAGTGAAAATATAAGAAATCAAAAAAGTAAAACACTAAGTAGTCCTACCCGCAAACAAAAAAAGAAAAATGTTTTGTTTAAAATGAGAATAATGGCCATGTTTGCAAGTAATTGACAGAGAATGCATCTGAACAAAGACCAACAGATGTTTTGGTGAGGATCAAAAGAGCGCAATTGACTTTGACGATTGATGTGCACAGGTATTGGTGCCAGCTAGTCAGAGCTTAAAAGGAATAATTTTGAGAGCTTCAGTTTTCAACCTAAACAAGTGATATAGTTCAACTCAAAATGACATCGCCTCTTATGTCTTCTTGATTAAAGATTCTCTGATCTAAGATCCAAGCAAAATGGCTGAGTTTTTTAAAACAAGACTAAGTAAACCAAGGATTTTCATAAAAGCTTTTATGGTAAAGAAAGATTGTCTAAACAGATATAATAGACAGTGAAAGAAATTTATATATATGTCTATATTTCTAAGATGAGGTATTATGTACACTATTTATGTTATTCTGACTATTGTCCTCACCTTCGTTGCCATATTTATCACAACGTTTCGGCCTTTCAGTATCTGTCTATATTTCTGAGATGAGGTATTATGTACACTATTTATATTATTTAGACTATTGTCCTCATCTGCATCACCATATTTATCACAACCTTTCAGCCTTTCAGTATCTGTCTATATTTCCGAGATGAGGTATTATGTACACTATTTATGTTATTCGGACTATTGTCCTCATCTTTGTCATATTTATCACATTTCGGCCATTGTATGCTCCGGCCTTCTTCAGGTGGTTGGAATGTCTAACTGAACCCTTTATTTCGCTCACTGGGGTAGACATTTCTAGTTCCACGTTCAATACCTGCTTAAGGCAGTGGAGAACTTTCAGAGGAAGATTAACAGGAGATAACTGGCATCCATTAAACATGGCACGTGGAACTAGAACAGTTTACCCCAGTGAGCGAAATAAAAAGTTCAGTTCACCAATGACCTGAAGAAGGCCTGAGTGTACAAAGGCTGAAACATTGTGATGAACATGGTGACAAAGATGAGGACAATAGTCCGAATAATGTAAATAGTAAGTATATATATATATATATATATATATATATATATATATATATGTAAGCAAATATATGGATATAGATCCGACAGATTAATGCTCAACAAGCGTACATATAAATTTTAGATCAAAATAGAATTCTTTTCATTTTTCATTCAAAATACTCAAATTTTAGGAATACGTTTTCACAGCATCACCCACGTGACAACAACGTGACCATGTTTTAAACGGAGTGCTGATCTTATAAAACTTTCAGTTATCTGTTTGGATAAGTCTTGTTCTTATGTACATCACTTTTGTCATGTTGAATTGATAATGTTAATTATATTTTATGAATATGTCCTGAAGATGGTTTATTAGACCAAAATGTCCAACATTGACATATTAACATTAAAACAGCATAATTGCATATAAGGATTTTTGTTTTTTTTTTCCGTATATTTTTCTTCATATTATATATATATATATATATATATATATATATATATATATATATATTTTCTGTACCTGCTTTTTTTTCTTTTTTGTTAACAATAGATTTTCAAATTCTTATCCATTTTATTGTTGCTTACGTTTTTTATTTTCATTTTATTTAATAATATTTTATTATTATATATTCTATTTTTCCTCCTCATTTCTTTTTCTTGTCACATGCTATTCTAACCACTGCCTGTCTTTCTAAACGTGATAACTTGGACAATTTTGGCTACAGCTTGTGACATGCAAGATGTCTTTCCCCTTTCCCAACCTATAACTCTTTTCATCTATGTTTACAATCTCACTGCCCCACTCCCTACACTAGTAATAATAGACCAGCCTAACGCTTTTACACTAATTAAAATATTTAATTTAAGTTTATTTTCACAAAAAAGTTTTGCACAGCGAGGAATCAGACAGAGATTGCATTTTTGCTAACAATACGATTTCCACCAGAAAATACACCATCTACAAAAACATCTGTCGGTGAATAATTCCCATTTCTCTGTTTATTTATCAGTCCATTGATAAAGGACACAGGCATGTCTGAAAATTCTGAACTTAAAACCTTTTTTTCCGTTTGTCATTTCTGTACAACCCCTGATCATGAATGCACAAGCCTGATTGTGGGTCCCAGGTAGTACTTGGTGACCGTCACTATCTTAACGTCTTATTTTTTTTTTTTTGCTTACATTTATATATATTACAAACGTTACAACTGAATATTAAAGAATGAAAAATTGTCGTAGATTTTGATGTCATGCAGGGGTCTTTTTTCATCTCCTGTCCCAAGAATTCAAGAATTTGTTTTGTTATGCTAAGCTAAAAAAACAAAAACAAAAACAAAAAAAAAAATACTATATTCAGCATTTTTTATCCATAATGTTGAATGAGTTAAAATTATTCAACCTTTTAACAAGAAAAATCTCAAATCGATTTTTAAAATTGCGGCAAAACATTGTTGATTTATTTCAGATGCAATGATTTATTATGACGTGTCTCTAATTTGTATTTAGATAGATTGCATGTATTCTCAATTTTTCTAGTTGAATTGTTCACCTACATTGCATATGATTCATTATTGTGCATAATTAGGTTACAATAAAATTTGCATTTTATATGAAGACCACCTCATGGAAATTGAGATGTAGTAGAGTGGGGGAGGGGTGTATCATATAATTTACTTTTAAATAAAGTAAATCAACCATTCTAAAATATTCCATCCTGGGTAAGACGATAAACTACATCCGACAGCAAGGCCTCTCATCAGGAGGCTTTGAGAAGCATGGAATCACCTCTTAATTGCTGGTATTCCCGGGGTCCAACCTAACCTGGGGTGGTAGCACCTGTCAGGGTCCTAGCTATGGGCAAATAGTTCACCACTCCTTCCAAAGGGATCAAAACACTATGAAATTATAAAATAGGTTTTTATTCCAGCAGTACATTTTTTAAAAAGAAAAATTATTACCAGCAATACATTCTTGAAATAAAAATTACCGGCAATACAATTTTGAAAAAAAATATTACCGGCTATACATTTAAAAAAAATTACCAGCAATACAATTTTGAAAAAAAATATTACCAGCTATACATTTAAAAAAAAATTACCAGCAATACATATTACCTGCAATAAAAATCTTGTTGGCATGAAAAAAAAAAAAAACAGAATTTTCTTAGCAACTGGAGGAATGTAGAGAACGCTATTTTCATATTGTTAACTGAAAATAACGTCAGTTATTGCCACATGTAGAGAATATTGTCATTATAACTATGTTGGCGGATTCAACCATTTTTTTTTTTTGATTTTACGATATTGTTGTGTACATTTGTTTGGGAGAGAAGTAATTTTGTTAAGAAAGGTGAAATAGGGAAAAAGCCTGGGCATAGATTAATATTTGGGTTGAATTTGCCAACACAGTTAGAATGAAAATATTCTCCACACGTGACAATAACTGATGTTATTTTCAGTTAACAATATGAAAATAGCATTCTCTACATTCCTTCAGTTGCTAAGAACATTCTGTTTTTTGTTATTATTAGTTACGTTCTTTAATTAAATTCATTTCGCTTATTTTGCTTTGAGAAAGTCCACATTGGACGAAATGCGTCAGCAATAACTACAGTTTTCCTATTGTCATTTTATATATATATATATATATATATATATATATATATATATATATACTCACAAGAACACATACAATACACAAAAATGGATAGAGATCTAAGAACACACGGGGGTCATTAAAAGATAAGAATAGAAATATCTTTCCTCACCCTCACTCAGACAAATCTTAGTTTTTTGATTACCCTTCAAGCAGAACTTTCTTACCACCAGTGTCACTACCACACAAAAAAGAGAATGTTTAACATTGAAAAACATAAAGAAAATTAGTTCATTTTAATAATATGCTGAAATATCCACACTTTGCCTGAACAAGGTCATGAGGCCTGAAACGCATGTTGCCAAATAATAAATATAATATGTTTTTAAAGAAAAATCCACATTACAAACAAAAATATTTGCAGTTTTCTCTTATTTTTAAAATATAAACTTTTCTCTCATTGGATCAACCATAACTTCTTACCTATATATATATATATATATTTAAATATGTTTTTAACAGTACAAAAACATAACATGGCATTAAAGGCAAGAAATTTTTTACTATAGGCCATGATAAATTTTAAGAAACAAATTATGAAAAGAAAGTCTGTTGCAGATGATATAAATGAATGGTCATCCATATCAGACAGAAAATTTCTCATACTTTTGTTTATATATTACTATTCTGACAAAGGGGATGAAACAGAAAATTAATTTAAAATTTTCATGGACCTATAGTTTAAAAGTTCTTTTATTTTTTTTTATATATATATATATATATTTTATATATATATATATATATATATATATATATATATATATATATATATATATATATATATATATATATATATATATATATATATATATATATATATATATATATATATATATATATATATATATATTATTTCATTTATATATATATATATATATATTATTATTTATATATATTTAGGCATATGTATGCGTGTATATGTATGTGAAAAGTGTGTATATATTTAATATAGATGAATATGTGTATGTGTGGATATGAATATAATTTTTAGGTTTTTATATATATATATATATATATATATATATATATATATATTTGTGTGTGTGTATGTGTGTACATGTCTGTTGTGTGTGTGAGTACATGCCTAAGTATGTACCTACTTGTATATTTATTTT